CTTGAAAAAACTGGCCAGGTTCCCAGGAGGTTCAGTCCTCCTCTCTCCTCCTCCCCCCTCCTCCGTCCTCTCCCTCCTCCTCCCTCCTCCTCCTCCTCCCCCTCCTCCTCCTCCTCTCCTCCTCCTCCTCCTCCTCCTCCTCATCCCTCGTCCTCCTCCTCCTCCTCCTCCTCGTCCTCCTCCTGCTCCTCCTCCTCCTCCTCCGCCTCCTCCTCGTCCTCCTCCTCGCCAGTCTGCGATGCTTCGCAATGAAGGAGGCGGACCCTGGAGGGAAGGGTCCCTGTCGATACTGATAGGTGTGCGAACGACGTCCCCAAGGCAGCCCAGGCTGCTCCGAAGACACCACGAGGCCACCCCCCAACACGGCCCCCCCGAGCAACTTTTCCCTCGCTCCCCACCTCCGCTCTCCTGCTCGCCTGCCCTCAACGAACCTACATCACAGAGTGCTCGGCGGTGCACACACCTCCCTTGAGTAAACCACCCCTTAGTGAAAGCGACCTGGGACCGAAACCGACGGACCTGGACCCGCAAAAATGGCGGCCGCGACGCCCTCCAGCGAACCGAAAACGGCCAATTCGCGAGTCGACGTGTCAGGGCAGGATGTCTATCGACCTCCGTAGTGCCCCCGCGCAAACGCTTGATGACGGCTGGCACTCTGGATCAGCGTAGCCGCTATATACCTTCAGCATGCCTCGGCCGCCAGCCCAGGGAGGAAGTGAGAGGGGGCGGGCCTTCTCAGAAGGCTCCGAAGACCTCCAGCATTCTGACAAGTGCTTTGTTATGCTTTATGTCATTTGTTTTGTCTCAAGCATCCTGACAAGTGCTCTGAGCCTTCCCCGAACACCCCCAACAAACTGCTCAGAAGGCCGCAGGGCCTCTGAGAAGACCTGCCACCTTCTGAGAAGGCGCCCTCCTTCTCACTTCCCCCTCTCGCTCGCTGCCGAAGGACATAGAGGATCTGTCACAGACGTGGCAATCAACACTCAACACTATGAGCCCGAGCTCAGCATTAGGTGCCCCACATGCAGCGGGGAATTCAGCACCCACACAGGCGATGATGGTGCGTCCTCCAAGCGCACTGGGTTCTGCCGCATTTTGAATCCGATCGCCCAATCCGAGATAAGTGTGTGCCTGCTGTATGTCGGGATGGCGCTCTATGTTGCCCGAAGAGAGAACTTCACCGAGACTATAATGCCTGACAAATACTACTCGTCGTTGTGACAGCCGCAGTGGCCGTAAAATACATGGGTCATGGCAATAATGACGGAAGCAACATTGCACGTGAGATAATGCCATCTGTTTCCACAATGGCAACTGCCACGTACGGCATCGTTGCTCGTTCAATCCGCGAAGCCCAGGACTCTGGGCCTACTTTCCACGATCCCTTACCAAGCATCCTCAGATCTGTTGTTTGTCCCCTCTGGGCCCCGAGATGTCATGACTCCTTCCCCGGGGCCAATTCTCCCGTCCCCAGAATCGTCGTTGATGGTCCCGAACATGTTCTGATGGTCCCCGGGTCAGGCAGCCCCTGGATTCGAGAGCGAGGCCAGGCATCCCGCCCCGAAACAAAGTCATGACGACGAGGGCCTGAACACCTTCACCACTCTTAGAGGAACAAGTGAACATGACCTTTTCGGAGGTCCGCGCTGATCTCTTGGATCGGCGCTGGAACCCCCTCCCTGGCGCGCGGAGAGCACCAGAGGCGGCGCCCAGGGCGCCGCGGGGGGGCCCCAGCGCCGATCCAGCCTATTCGCGCGGACCTCCGAAACTTCATGTTCACACCAGCGATTACAACACGAGCTCTGCGCGCGCCCTCTACGGTGCGGAAGGGATCTGCAGACCTCCTCGATCTCCACGCCTGGGAGTCCTGGGGGCGCCGCCGGTGACGAGGGCGCTCCTCGACCCCAATCCTCCACCTCTTCGAGGGCGTCAGAGCAGGGGGCTCACGACATGAAAGTTCGAGGCGTGTGCGCGGAACTGGGAGGCGAGGGGCATGCAGTGGAGCCAATCCACAAAAGACCTTCCACAAGAAGCCCAACCCTGAGACCCCAGGACGCCCACCGATGTTTGGTGTGGGAGCGTCACGCTTCCCATCGCAAAACCATCGAAACCGAAGAAACCCAGGGCACCCTTGAGGCAAGCAGGGTGTTTCTTGGCGTGGGCCTCCACTGTATTTGACGCGAGAAAAGGGGGGCCACGGCATCCGGGGGAGATCTCATGGCCGCCGCCATGATCTCCACCCCTCCTACAGTGGGGGCTCGACAACAAGAAACCTCCCACAAGAAACCCTGAGACCCCAGGACGCCCATCGATGTTTGGTGTGGAAGCGTCACGCTTCCCATGGCGAAACCATCGAAACCGAAGAAACCCAGGGCACCCTGGAGGCAAGCAGGGTGTTTCTTGGCATGGGCCTCCACTGTACGTGACGCGAGAAGAGGGGGGCCACGACATCCGGGGAGATCTCATGTCGGGGGCGCGCAAACATGGATTAGCGATCCATGGATTTGGCGCGCGGTCGCCAAATGCATGGATCGGGGGATGTGCCCTCCTCAAAATGCGGCCCGCGCCGCCTCGCTCTGCGGCGGAAGCCCGCGATTTGATCCACGCCCCCTCAATCCATGTTTGCGATCGCCTGACTGGGGTCGAACAGATCCCTCAAGGAGTAGGAGGAGGAGGTGGAGGAGGAGGAGGGGGCGGAGGAGGAGGGCGGAGGAGGGGAGGAGGAGGAGAGGAGGGGGAGGGGAGAGGGGGGGGGGGAAGGGGGAGGGGGAGGGGGAGGGGGAGGAGGAGGGGGAGGAGGAGGAGGGAGGGAGGAAGAGAGAGAGGGAGGAAGGAGGAGGAGGAGGAGGAGGGAGGAGGAGGAGCCTCGCCTGATCATGCCCGCCGTCGTGATCGCCGCTCCCTCCCAGTCCGCCGCCCCTCCTGGCCGCCCCCGGCTCTGCCCTGCGCGCCCCTGCCCTGGAGGCCCCCGGGGCCGGGGGCTCGGAGCCAGAGGGGGTCGGAGGATCCTGCAGTGATGGGCAGATTTTCCACCACCACTACCATATGTAGGATGAGGTCCTCCTCCTCCTCCTCCTCCTCCTCCTCCTCCTCCTCCTCCTCCTCCTCCTACGTATGGTAGTGGTGGTGGAAAATGCCCTGGGCATGCAGGGCGACGGCTAGGAAAGCACACGCGGGTGAATGGCTCTGAGCGCAGTCTGCTGCCGAAGGGGGAGGGCCCAGGGACGAGCAGGGACACCCAGGGGGGGGACATCCGCACACACCGACGAGGGACGCGAGGGACACACTCGGACGCTCCAGCACGTCAAGGGCTCCCAAAGATGCCCACACACACACATCAAAGAGGCTCATCGGCGCTAAGAAGCGCCCATGTCATCACACAGACATCCGACAGCAGAAGTTGTCAGACCAGTCATCCGACCTACACGAAACAACATCCATGTTATTCCCCGGCAGCATATGTCAATGCAAAAAATGCCTGTAAGGGAAACGGACGAAAACAAATATATCAGGTCAGACAACGGCCAGTACTGTTTTTATCACCTCGCGCACAGCCTGGAGGGACAAGGTGGAGGGGCGGCTAGACAGAATGACCTTCACCGCGCGGCTTGGTGATCGGTGGTACGCGATGTGACAGTAGCGACCTGCGCTCTCGGGCTTTGGACCTCCCCCGAGCCCCCCCCCCCTCCCCGAAAAGGTTACCCTCACGTTGCCGACTCCCTCTTGCTCGCCCTTCCCTTCATCTGCCCTGCCCTGCTCCTTCCGCCCGTCCTGCCTTCCCCTCGCCTCTGAATCGATCGAGTGCCGAGCTCCTGGGAAACACGGATCCGACTGAGGAACAAGGAGAAGGAAGCGTCACCACCACCAGCGCCAGGAGCCGAGGGGTTCCTCCTGGCAGTGCACTCCTCCCTCCCCCCCCCGAGGCATCCCCCACCTCTGGCTCGGGGAGGCATCGCGGACGTCCTCGCTGGAGGCGGCGCCCCTGGTAGTGGTGGTGTCGCTGGTCTATCCTCCGAACGAATGTCGAAGATAGCGCTTGGAGCAATGACTGTACAGCATGGCGCCGCAGAACAACAACGCGTGCGGGGCAAGAGGATGCCACTGCCCGTTGTCCTCTGCCCACCGCTCTCCACCCGTCTGCCTGAGCTTCTGGCTCCCATAGGCCAGGCAGAGAGACACTGTCAACAGACTGCTCACGAGCACGCGCCTTACAGCAGAGTCGCAAGAGTCGCCTCCTCGCCTTGCTAGGCATGAGCAGAGCATGCGCGCTGCCATTGCAGCCAGGTGCTTTCAGCAATCTGAGTACATCCATTAGCGGTAGATCCTGCTGGCGACTCATCCATGCGGCAGGGCGGTTACTCATCGAACCTATGCCGCTTCCAGCAATCGATATGGCCGCCAAGCGTGGACCAGCGGATTGCACCACCACTCGGACAGGCTAGTGATTGATGGCGAGGAGTGGTCAAACAAACCAAGACTCGCCGACTCATTGGATGAAGTAGGCAAGTCGATAGACGAAAACAATTTCCGCGTCAATTGCAAGCTCCAACTACGTCTTCTGAACAAGCGAAGCTCATAACAATCTGACCAACGCCTTCAAATTCCGATCCAACATCGCTCACCTCTATACGGGACGAAGGAATCATCTTCATGTTGCCCAGGCATCACACTGGCATCCCTTGCGCAAACTCAACACTGCAGATGGCTGTTGAATCTGGATTCCAACGTGGTATGCCGCAACAAAAGAACCGACGCGCGTGCCGAATCCGTCACCCTCGACGTTCTCCACACGCTGAATGCACAGTTGCACACCTGATGCTGTCCTGCTTCAACCTGTTGTAAAATATCCTCGTCGACTCCCTGAGCATCTCGTAAAAGACGTTGAGTGTCCGTGCTGCCCAACAGCATGCTGAGCAAAGACAGCCACTGCTGCCACTGCAAACACTAGTTGCACATAGTGATTACAGCGCTGGGGGTGGTGATGGCGACCTGGCCGCGGTTCACACCTCCCCAAGCAGTGAAAGCACGTGTTGCCCTTGTCCAGCTTTCTCACACCCGGTGACTCCAACACGGTAGCTACTGACGCTCGGATCCATCCCAGCGTATCTCATATCACCGAGCAGAGACAATGCCTGTTCCAAGTGTTCGCCTCGTACGCACGCATCGACTCCCGCACTGTAGCTTATGACGTCTGGTTCTAATGACGCATCACTCATGCCCTGAATCAGCGACAGCGCCTCTTGCCACCAGTAGCCCTTCTTGCACGCGCTCAATCCAACACTGTAGCTGACAGCGGTGGATCTTCGAATTCGCGGAGTGCAGAAGGAACCAAATCGATATTGATTCAGCCGAGCGGCCTTGGAGATCTATGGCCCCTCGAAGACCATACGACGAGCCAGGGGCTCATATCACCAACCATGACGGCACTTAAAGAGGTTCTGCACGAGAACTGGGAGACGGAGTAAGGCTCACGACCGCACGACGCACAATTCGGAGGGACAGCCCTAGATTGTGGCACACCGCGTCACACATTTCGACCAAGAGTCCAGGTGGGGTGGCGTGGGCTTGAGATCTGGGAGAAAGCGTGATCCACCGCCGCTTTACTGTGGAAAATTGCCAACCTTTTCCTCCGGAGCCCGGGGGTCGCCCCCCCCCCCCCTCCGAAAATCCCCCCCCCCCCATCCCCTCCCCCGGCAAAACCCCCCCCTCCCCTAACCCCCCCCCCCCCCCTCCCCCTCGAAAACCGGGGGGGGGTCACTACCGTTCGAACCCCACCCCCCCCCCCCCCTCGGATTCCGGAAAACCGGGGGGGTCACTACCGGTTCGAACCCCCCCCCCTCTCCCCCCCCCCCCCCCCCCCCCCCCCCCCCCCCCCCTACTCACCGCCAGCAAACGACTCCCGGTCCCCACCACCGTCCGCATCACATCCCCCACTGGTGTTCCCAGCACCACTGTCCTCACCACCGCTGTCCCCACTGGTTCCACCACCGCCCCTACTGTCCCCACCAGTGGCCCCACCACTGTCGCACTGTCCCCGCTGTCCCCAGAACTGTTCCCACCACGGTTCCACTCTCCCCACTGTCTCCACGGCCCCAACCACTGCCCGACTATCCCCACTGTCCCCACTGTCCCACTGACTCCTCCGCTGTCCCACTGAGCTGTCCCACTGTTCCCACCACTGTCCCCACTGTCCCCACCACTGTCCCCACTGTACCTCTGTCCCATTGTCCCACCGCCGTCCTCGCCACCGCCTTCACCACTGTCCCCACCACCATTGTACCCTCCACTGTCCCACTGTTTCCACCTCATTCCCATTGTCCCCACACCACTGTCCCCACCACCACCGTCACCACCACTGTCCACTGTCCCCCCCTGTTCCCACCATTGTCCCCACCACTGTCCCCACCACTACCGTCCCCACCACTGTCCCACTGTCCCACTGTCCCCACCACTGTCCCGCTATCCCCTCACCACTGTCCCCACCAACACCGTCCCCACCACTGTCCGCACCCCCACTCGGTTTTCGAGGGGGGGGGGGGTTCGAACCGGTAGTGACCCCCCCCGGTTTTCCGGATCTGGAGGGGGGGGGGGGGGGGGGGAGGGGTTCGAACCGGTAGTGACCCCCCCCCCTTTCATGATGAGCAGGGGGGGGGGAGGGGTTCGAACGGTAGTGACCCCCCCGGTTTTCCGGAGGGGGGGGGGGGGGAGGGGTTCGAACCGGTAGTGACCCCCCCCGGTTTTCCGCCAGCAGCGGTAGAACACGCTCTTTCAGATCTGGAATCCCACCAACCCTTCGGGTGTGAGTAGTTTAGGGGGGGTCCTCGTCCAACCCTCTTCTTTCCCTTCGAGGCGGGGTTTGCCCCTCCCCCTCCCCCCTCTCCCTGGGTCTGGAGGGGTCCGCAGATCGTTGGAGCGTCCAAGGTGGCCTCGATGAGAAGACAACAATCATTGCTTGCACTAAGGTGTTGGCCACATTTTTGCCTCCTGGTGCGGGGTGGCTGATTGGGGCCTTCCCCCCCACTTGATCGATCTCCTCCACGATGGCCCCAAGATGGCCCCCGAGGCTCCCAAGGGTGCCCAAAGACGGCCCCAAGATGTGCCCAGGAGGCTCTGAGGGCCCCCAAGACGCCCCCAAGATGCCTCCAAGAGGCTCACAAGGGACCCCCAAGATGTCCCAAGAGGCCCCCATGACGCCCCAAGAGGCACCAGGACTGCCAGGAGATTCTCAAGACGCCCCAAGAGGGTTGCAAGAAACTCTCGCAAGAGACTCCGAGAGGCATCCAAAGAGGCCTCCGGCCTTTCTGCTAGCACTCCTCCTCCTCCTCCTCCTCCTCCTCCTCCACTCGATTTCTTTATGAATAGTTTCTCCCTTTCGCACCCCGAGACCAATCTTTAGTACGGGCCGGGCGTTTCGCTTGAGACTTCTTCATCTTTTAAGACTCTGGAGCTTAAAATTGGCAACAGTTCCACAAATGGGAAGCGGGTGGTTTTCAAAATGTGGCTCTCGCCTTGGCGCCGCGCACATTCGTTCTAAAACCTTGCGAGAACTGCGCATCTTGAGGATCACCCGTTTTCAAAATGTGACTCTCGCCTTAGCGCCGCGCACATTCATTTTGAACATCTGCAAGAGTTTCACGGATTGAGGATCACCCGTTTTCAAAATATGGCTCTCGCCTTAGTGCCGCGCACATTCGCGCATTTGCAAGGTGTTTCACGGATTGAGGATCACCCATTTTCCAAATGTGGCTCTCGCCTTTGCGCCGCGCACGCTCGTCCATAAAATTTGAAAGAGTTTCACGGATTCCCACGATCAACGTACCAGAAATGGTGTTTGGAAGGATTCAGGATTTTGCAGGTGCAGCAGTTACGTGGATTCGCGGTACTGAAATCCCAGAATGGCGTTCTGGCACGATCCAGGATCGTCAAGACGCAACAGTCAGGTTGATCCGTGGCGTTGGGATCCCGAGAGGAATGTTTTGGCATGCTTCCGGGTCTTCAAACGGTTGCCTTTCAACAAGGCAGATCCCTCAATGGAAATGATCCTTTGTAGGGGCCTATGATGAGGGAGCTTGCAGGGAGGGTGTATTCCAACATCGTTGATGGCTCTTGGGTTTACACTGGTCTTCCGATTCCTCCTCCTCCTCCTCCTCCTCGTCCTCATCCGCCTATTCCTCCTCCTTCCTCCTGCCTCCTCCCCCTCCCTCTCTCCATTTTCCTCCTCCTCCTCCTCCTGCTCCTCCTCCGATTCCTCCTCCATCCTCCCCCTCTTGGGGAACGACGTCTTACCCAACCATTTATTCAACGGCATGCTCCTTGATTCAGGGCAACTCGTCTGGACATCGTTTCTGATGGGCTGGTGGGGTTGCGCGAGACGTCTGGAATTTGCCATGAAAGTACGGGGCCTGAACGACACGGGTCCAGGCAGGCTCTCCCCCAAATCTGCGTTTCATCACGAATCATAGCTCGACCGGCCCAGGCGGGGCCGTCCCCGACCCGAGATCGGGCTGGCCAGGATCGGTGTTATTGGGTGTGGAGTTGACGCCCTCCGACCTTTCTCCATGGCCAGACCAATGATTGAACAAAAAAGGACCCCCAAACCCTTTGGGAGGGGACCTAAGCCTTGAACTATATTTTGGGGGGCAGGGCTGCAAAAATTGCGCCGCCAAAATGAACCATTTGGGGGCGGGGGTGCCGTGGGTCATTTTTTCGCGGGATGTCTCTGGCCAAACCGACGAAGCCGTGCATGTGTTGGTAAAGTTCTAAACGTATTTTGGAAAAAAGGGGGTGCCGTATGTGATTTTGTCCGACCCCCTTCCTGGAATGGTTGATTTGTTTGCGTAATTCTGGGAAATACAGAACCATTCTATTTTGGGCGCGTTTCTGGGCTCATTTTTAGCAGCCGTGCCCCTGGGAATATCACTTGCTACTAAGTAGAGAAGGCCAGGAACATTAGGGATACGGGGGTCTTTTCTGCAGATGTAGCAGACCAAGCCGCCCAGAATCATCATCCCTGATGCGAGGACGGGGACCTCAGTGAGGCCACGTCTTCATCGTGCTATTAGAGTGAGGGGCTCTGTTGTGCTCGATGAGCCCAGGACCTGGAATCCTCCTCGGTCCAGCGCGCGCTTCCCCGGGGTCCTCCAGCGTCGGACGCCTGGCGGCGTCTCCGAGTGCTCCCGAGGGCCCCTGGTGCGGATCGCGCTGCCTTCGGCCACGCGCAACACCGACAACCTCTGGTGCGCGGTTTACTCATCCTTGCATGCAATACGTCTGCAGCGGCCCCACGAAAGCCGTACAATACAGCGGGGAGACCAGAAGGTACCGATACCTCTACTCCCTGGACCTCTCCCCGGGTGCGTTCTGACCAGAATTTCGAGGCGAATCCAGCGGTGGTGACGACGGCCACCCAGGAGGCCCAAAAAGAGCAAAGGTAGCGGTGGGGGTACCTCGTGTTCCTCCGACACAGGTCACTCTGGGGAAGGGTCACTCTCACGTATAACTAGCCGAGGCCATCCTGCATGGTCCACGGGGAGCCCCACGGTCGGTGCCCACTGCCGGGTGTCAGCCAGAGGGCCTTAGGCCAGAGTGCCCTGGGCCTGAAGCAGGAGCCCCAATAACTCGACGCCCAGGGCCATGTAGCAAACGCAAGTTATCGGGTCTGGGTGGTTGTTCCTCCCTTGACCCATGTCCCAGATGCGCCCATGTCGATACGGCGCTGGGTAGAGCACGATGTCTGGCTCCAATTCTGCGTCCCTCAACTCACTCAGCATCAAGAGTACCCGCTGCAACTGCCCTCCTTTCTCGCACGCGCTCATTGCGGTACTGTGACTGTGAATTTCTGGCTCCACACTTGCTGCCAGCATCCTCCTCAAAAGCGACAGCGCCTCTTGCCACTGTCCGCCGTCCTCGCACGCGCTAATTCCAGAAATATAGCTGACGAGATCTAGTTTGACCTTCGCATGCATCGACTCCCTCAACACCCATAGTGCTCGGTCCCAATGCCCACCTTTCACACAAGCGCTGACAACAGAACTATAGCTGATGCTGTTTGGCTCCACTTCCGCCTCCGCCAACTCACTCAACAACAACACTGCGTGCTGCCATTGCCCACATCTGCCGCACGCGCCGATGCCTGCACTGTAGCTGATCACATCGGGTTCCAATTGTCTGTACCACAACTCCCTGAGCAATCCCAAGGCATGCTGCCACTGGCTGCCTTTCTCGCACGCGCTGATCCCAGCATTGTAGCTGACCGTGGCGGACCAGTGGAGGGCCACTCTCGCATGCCAGCATGAGCAGGCAGCAACGAGATCGAGGCCAAAGTGTCAACCACAAGCCTCGGGTAAGAGGATCGGGCCGGGCGAAAGGGGGGATACCAAAGGGGGGATTTGAGAATCAGCTCACGTAGCTGATTTTCCCAGCGCCTCCCGGCGCCGGGAGGCGCCCATGTACCGAGGAATGGGCCCGGCGGCGGGGCCGAAATCAGCTACATGCAGCAGATTTCGTAACCCCCCCCTTTCCCAATCCCCCCCTGTCGTCCGGCCCGAGAGGATGGACATTTATCAACAAACTTTGGCGTGACTCGTGGCAAGCAGGAACGGGAATTCACACAAACCACGCCTCCCAGGCAAACTCGCCAACCCAACGGGCGGGAGGCGTGCCAAGATCTCAAGCAGGCGAGCCCGGATCTTTCGAGAGCTCGGGCGCGTGGGGCGGCCCCCGGGAGCCCCAGGGCAAAAACGCGAGGAGGCACCAGAAACCCGCAAACGGGGGTCAGCCATAGCGCCATATCTTGCAGGATCCTGCAGGGCCAAAGTCGCATTGACCCGGGTTTGGGTGCAGGATCCTGCAGGATCTTGCCGGATCCTTCGCATTGACCCGGGCTTGGGTGCAAGATCTTGCAGGATCCTGCAAGGCCTGGCTGATCCCGATCTGGACTGACCCGGGTCAGAAGATCCCCGATGCTTCTTCTGGGCGTGGCTTCCGGGGCACCCAAAGGCGCGGCAGAAGGCGCAGGACGCTCGGGGAACCGGCCCAGGAGAGGGCCGAGACGGTCCCACTGCGCTTCGAGACGGCCGAGGACGGCCTCGGGAAGGCTCTATGGGGGTTCCCCACAGGGCCGAGCAGCGCTCCAGGACAGCAGAGTCTTGCCTCACTCAGCCCAGGAGGCCACCGAGAGCGCTCCAAGAGGACGCCCAAGAATTCCCCAAGAGGGACACGACTTTGAATTCTCTTCGGATCGTCCACGATCCTCAAGTTCTGGCCTTGTCGCCTTCAACATGGCCCCAAAAAGCCTTTCATGTTGTCCCCAAGACGGCCCAAGAGGGCTCCACGAGGGGCCCAGGAGGGGGAAATCGAACACACATGTCCTGCCCTCCGCCCCAAACCGACCCCCCGGGACCGCCAGCCAGCCCCCGAGAGAGCCCCAAGAGGTCCCAGGCCGTCCCGAGAGGACCCCCCGGGAGGCCCCCCCCGGTCGCCCCCACGAGGCTCCCACGAAGATTCCCTGGACGCGCACGCGAGAACCCCCGAAGATACATCCGAGGGGCCCCCCCGAAGGGCACCCCGAGAGACCCTCGCACGCAGCCAGAGGGCCTCCCCCCCCCCCCATGGCGCCACGCCGCACGACAGCGCCGCTGGCCTGCCGCCCCCCTCCGACGCGCTGCTGTGGGTGCCCAGCTCGCGCCCAGACACCGAGCGAGGGGCCCCCGCGGCGCTCGCGGGCCCCCGGGCGGCCCACGAGAGCGAAGCGCTCCGAGCACCACTGCAGAGGTGTGGCTCCTTGGAGTGCCCACCGCTCTCGCGGACTCCCGCAGCAGTGCTGCGCGCCGGCTCCGCGGTCACGACAGGCTTGCCGTTGCGAGAGATCTCCCGCGTTGTTCTTCATCGAACTGCTACCAAGAAGACGTACCCGCCAGTCGGAAGAAGCAGGTGGAAACATGACGTACGAGGGCGGACAAAGTAGATAGGGTTCGGGCGAGCCCAAATAATAACACACCAGATACGGCAAACACATATCGACTCTTGAAATAGGAAGGCGCTTGGAATAGACTTGGTTCTGGATAGCCAAACGTACATACGTTCAACGATCTGCGTGTGTCCGGAGTGTGATTCTCTGGAGGCCTCCAGAGGCTCGAGAGGGGCTCACAACTGCCGTGCTGCTGCCGTTCCTCCTCCTCCTCCTCGACTTCCAATGTGGACACCCCTGTCGATCCAACGCCGAGAGGGACGATCGACAAGGGGGAGGGGATGTTCCTCGGCCTCTTCCTGCTCCAACTCGTCCTCCTCCTCCTCGCCCTCCTGCTCGTCCTCCTCCTCCGCCTCCTCCTCCTCCTCGTCCTCCTCGTCCTACTACTGCTCCTCCGTCTCCTCCCATTCCCTCCTCCTCCGTCCACAAGGTGGGGACGATACCACACATCGCACGCTGGCTCAGACCGACGGCGGCCGCCGCTGGGCAGGCGGCCTCCGCCCCTGGATGGACGACGACCGCGGCGCAACGGGCCGCGAGCCCCGCTCAGACTACGCAGGAACAACTTGCGGTCTCTGCCCCTCGGGTGTTGCCGGAAGTGCCCCTGTGCCAAGGTGCCCCCAGGATTTCCGCGGAGGCCCCCACGGCCTCCGCAGTACCCCTCTCGAGGCCCTGAGGGCCCCAGGGGCTCCAAAATGAAGAGAACAGCTGGGGGCACCTTGGGCCGCACCTTCAGCACCCCCCGAGTCCGGAGTCTTCCCGTCCCCACTCCAGTCGGCCTTCCCGAGTGCGAACGCCTTGGTCGGAGGAGGAGCGGCACGGCATGAAACACACACCACGTCGGAGCTCCGCGCGGGGACTCGCAAGATTGGCGCTGGGCCCCCCCTCCTTGGCGCGCGGAACGCGCCAGGGGCGAGGAGGAGGAGGAGGAGGAGGAGGAGGAGGAGGACGAGGAGGAGGAGGAGGAGGAGCAGGAACAGGTGGAGGAGGAGGAGGAGGAGGAGGAGGAGGAGGAGGGCACCGCTGGAGGGGGGGCGCAGCGCAGATCGGAGAAATCCGTGCGGAGCTCCGAGTGCTCATGCTTGCGTCTTGCGTTTTGCGAGGCGGGAGTTTATCCATATCCACCGCCTGGGAACCGGCGCCCTGGTGCCCCAGCGGGCGGTGGACATGGATATATTTCGGCCCCTGGGGGCAGGAAGATGTCCAGATCCACCGCCTGCCGAGGCTCCGAAAACTGACCCACCAGGCGGTGGTCATGTATAAATTCCCGCCTCGGACCTTTGATGGCGGTTGGCTCCAGCCTCGCTCCACCCATCGCGCGAAGCAGCGACAGCGCCTGCGGCCATCGCCCGCCCTTCTCGCACGCGCTGACTACCGAGTTGTAGCTGGCGACTCCAGGCTCGACCTTGAAGGACGAGGACTATGCACAAGCACCTAGCATGGCGAAGCTCATGCTGACTCCAGGATCGGCTCGTGCGCCCTCCTGAGGGCGAGAATGATGCAATGATGCGATTTGCTCATCACACGCTCCAGAAATGTCATGGCATCTAGCGGGCTTCGCTTCTGGAGACTATTCGGAAAATTAAGGAACCCTGGAATGTCGGGAAACTGGTAATCTTGGAACGCATCATTGTCATGACTCTTTGCCGCTCTGACGTCTCGCTTCACAAGAGAGGCATACACACAGCTCCTGGGACCAGGATTGGCCAGGCCACGGTCGTTTTATGTGGTGTATGTGTATAGTCCTCGTCGCCCAATGACTTTCGCCTCCCCCATCTCGAACAGCAACGACAACGCCTGCTGCCAATGACCGTCCTTCTCGCACGCGCTGATTGCAGCACTTTGGCTGATCGCGTCTGGCTCCAGAATCGTGTCATCCATTTCGCTGAGCAATGCTAGTGCCCGCTGCCATTGCTCGCCTTTAGCACATGCGTTGATTCCAGAATTGTAACTGACTACGTCTGGCTCCAACACGGCGTCGGCGATTTCGCTGAGCAGCGACAAAGCCAACTGCCATTGCCGGGCTTTCCCGCAAACGCTGATTGCAGCGTTGCGCCCAATGACACTTGGCTCCAACTTCGCTTCCATACTTCCCCTCAACAATGACAATGCCTGGATCCACTGCTCGCCAACCTCGCACGCGCTAACTCCAGCATTGTACCCGATGTGGGCTTGCCTACATGGGAACATTCAGCGACACTGGCAGCTGGCGACCACGTATGAAGACACCACAAACAAGTGTGTATATATATATGTAAGTGTGTATATATTTATATGTATGTATGTATATGTATATGTATGTATAAACATATATACCTACATGCATACATGTATGCATGCATGCATGCATGCATACAAACATACATACATACATACATACATACATACATACATACATACATACATATGTATATATACATATATATATATATATATATATATAATATATATATATATATATCGACAAGGAATGGTAGTCTCAAGCATCGGATCTCTAGGCTTTGAGTGCAAGAGGGCACTATGGGCGTGCACTAAGACACTGGGCTCAGTTGCACTGGAGTGTTCACCAGGCAGGCGGCTGACGAACACAAGGACGCTATCCAGACACGAAAGCTGTCAAGCGTCGGCGGGGCAGAGCAGGCAAAGACATGCAGCTACACCGCCACGAGGCTCTATCACTGGGCAGGGCCTCTCACATAGGCTCAATCCTCGCGACCACGAGGGAGTCACTAGGCAACGATTTCAGGACAGACGTGAGCAGAAGATCATCTCGGGTGCTTACCGCCTGAAGCTCGTGCGCATCGTCCAGAAAAGCAAATGACACCTGACACTTAGCCGTGTAATGATCATGCATTCTCGCAACCTTCATTGCGAGGGTCTTAATGTATTTGACGGAGTGCATAGCCTTTACTATTAGCTTCAATGGCACTCCATGCGCACCTACAAATAATGGCATGCTGGTGCTTGTCTGTCCGATCAGATCTGCCTGCATTCCACTCACGGATTGGAACACAGGATGGTCATCAACGATGTCCCTGGGATCAGCGTTGCTGTCCAGATTACCCTCGGCGCCCACGAGTTCTGACTTCAGCGCTGCGGAAGGGAACTCTGGCACCTTTGGGAAGCTCATCTTGTCGGACTCGTTCGTCTTCTCATCGGCAAGGGCCTCGGCGGAGGCGTCACTGGAGCTTCCGGGATCATGGGGGTCCCGTTTAGCTGCGAGCGGCGTGGCAAGGTGAACTTCGTCGAAGATGTTAGCCGCATCTGATCGTGTCGGCACCTGGCTGGAGAGGCCAGGCGTGACAGAGGTTGCTCCATGCTCTGGTCTGCCGTCTGCACGCTGGGGCGTGAAGATCAGACTATCGGCACCTGCCTCGTGAGCGATAGTACGGGCCCCAACTCCCGGGCTCCGAACGGCCTCATACTGCGAGGAAGGGGCTTCGATCCCCGAGCTCCCCGGAAGCGGTCCGAAGGGGGTGCCAGAAGCGACGCCGGGCCCGGCCTCGTCGGCCTCGGTGTGGAGAGACGCGTTGTCCTCAGCGCGCCTGTGGGCCGCGGCGCTGAGGAGGATGGCGGTCGCACCTCGCTCGACGGCATCGATGTCGGACTCGGCGCTGATGAGGCTCTGGCTGACCTCGGCGTCGGGAAGGCACTTGGCAGCCTCATCCCCGTTGTCGGCCCCAGCCTTGGAGAGCGGGAGCGCGAAGGCCTTCAGGAGCGACTCGTGTTCACCAGGGGCAGCTGCAGCAGCTGCCCGGACATGAGCCTTGGCGGCATAGATGATCACGCGCGCGATGTTCGTGGCGGTGCTGTCGTCGTAGATGTCGAGACGGACTCCGGTGGCAGGGTCCGTGAGCGTAGTCACCACTCGTTGCAGCGCATGGCGGCCATCCGCAGCGGACGATGGCGATGCCTCGTGCGGCGACTCTGCGTCCGGTAGCGGCGCAGGCTGGTCCGGCGGGGCAGCAGCGATGCCCGCCGAGTTCGCGCTGCCGACGGCCATGTGCTGCGGCTCCATCGCAGCTTCATCACCAGCAGCAGGCGCACGGCCGCCGGAGGCCATGGCAGCACACGCCGGAAAGGCTGCCAGGCATGCGATGCCGGCGCCCTCGCGCCAGCCTCGCCAGGAGCAGCACGCGCGCAAGCCAGTCCGCGGACCAGGATGGCGGCCGAGACTGAGAGAGCACGCCGGGCCGGAATGCGCCCTGTGCGCGGTGCGCTAGGGGCCGGCCCCACTGAGTCAATCAGGCTACAAGGCTCTCACCCCGTTTGGACCCCGAGCGGGGTCCAAGCGGGGCTTGAGCCAAAATGGCTTGAGCCAAAATGGATACGGATACATATATATATATATATATATATATATGTATATCCGACGGCCCCCCTGTGGGCCACCATGCTGTAGGCTCAGGGTTTGCTGTTCCCTGCGCCAGTTCCAGCTTCCAATTTCCACTGTTACAATTCAGCTTCTTGTTGCTTACTCTTCCTTGTTGGGGCCCGCCCTGGTTAGCACCTCCCAGGAGGGGTCTCAGAATTTCTGGGGGGTCGAAATTCACACCCCTCACGCAGATCGGCGGGGTCAGGGTCTAGAAGCACATAGGATTTGCCGCATTTCTCAAATTCGGCGGCGCCTCTCACGCAGATCGGCGGGGTCAGGGTCCAAAAACCAATGGGAGTTGCCACATTTCCAAAAATTCGGCGGCACCTCTCACGCAGATAAGCAGGGTCAGGGTCAACAAAACACATGGGATTTGCCACATGTCTCAAATTTGGCGACTCCTCTCACGCAGATCGGCGGGGTCAGGGTCCAGAAGCACATAGGATTTGCCATATTTCTCAAATTCGGCGGCGCCTCTCACGCAGATCGGCGGGGTCAGGGACCAAAAACCAATGGGAGTTGCCACATTTCCAAAAATTCGGCGGCACCTCTCACGCAGATAATCAGGGTCAGGGTCGAACAACCAATGGGCTTTGCCACATTTCTAAAATTCGGTGTCACCCCTCACGCAGATCGCTGGGGTCAGGGTCGAACAACCTATGGGATTTGCAACATTTCTGACATTCGGTGGCACTCCTCATGCAGATCGGCGGGGTCAGGGTCGAAAAACACATGGGATTGGCCACGTGTCTTGAAATTCGGTGGCACCCCTCACGCAGATCGCCGGGGTCAGGGTCAAAAAACATTTGGGATTTGCAACATTTCAATACTTCGTAGAAAAGCTTCTTGCACAGCATACGCGAGCAAACTCGAAATACAACACCGAACTCTACAATATCATCAGAAGTTCAACTTGTCTTGCCGATTACTCATCGTCTTCGCGTGAATCCCCGACGCTGCTTCACGGCGGCGTCAAGGCCTCATGACTTCGCTCTTGCATTGCCCATTATCCGAGAGAGGGGGCCGGCGGCAGGGGGCGAAGCCCTTACGGATAGAAATACATATCGCAACAAAAAAACAGCCTCGCAGACCACACATGTTGCCGGAGACGGCCCTGGCATGCGACCGTCACCATCTACAAGGGCAACTAGTTTCGCGAATGCGCGTGCTCTCGCGCCCCCCCACGGGGGAGAAGAGGGAGACGAGGAAGATGAAGATGAAAGATCGCGGAGAATCGCGAACCGCGAGTCCGGCGACCCCGGCTTGCCGGGGTGATAAGGCATGCGAGACGATCCCAAACCCCCGACGTCATGTTCTTTTCTCTGCATCGGCCCCCCTGACCTGGAACCGGTTATTCGTCCTGTGTCGTTTTTTGACGGCCCCGAGGCCCCAGCGCCCTGAGTCCGAGAATAAGGGAAAAACCTCCAGTCGTGATTTTGTCATTACTCGAGGGGGTCTGGGATTGGCTGTCCCGGTCCGAAATCCGATTCCAGGGGGGGGGGCAGAAGTCGCAGACGGTTGCAAAAGACTGTACACAGATTCACTCGACGCGAAGTCTCTAGGATTGGTGCTGACCAACACGCCAGATTCTCACAATCCGACACGAACTGGCATTGCATCATTATGCCCCTTGCCGTGTCATCTGCCCTCTCACCACGACTTGTCGCGACGTCTGTCGATGGTTTGTTGTGTGAGAGTAGGTCATGCCTTTGTTATATTTATCCCTCTCTCGCTCGCTCCCTCGTGTTTGTTGTTCTCTCTCGCTCTCGCTCTCGCCCTCTCTGGTCCTACATTATTGAACCTGCTGCGCCTTTGAAGTCTTTTTGCTAACATCCCTTTAGACTTTAGACCCCGGCGTTGTACACAAATGCCTCCCAAACTGGGTCCCGTAGATGGCTTGCGCCTGGAAGCACGATTTGGAGCCGACTGCTCTCCCCCTGAGCACATCACAAAGACATATACAGACTAGTGCTCCAAACAATTTACATAACGGAGTGCGGGCTCGTACGGCAACAGCTTCTGCTTTTCAAGGTCCCCATCTCGCGCAGACACATCCCCCGCCCCCGCGCCCCTCACAGTAGAGCACGGACAATGTCAGGCGCTAGCTTCGCTTCCCAAATCTCTCTGAGCAGTACCAGCGACCGCTGCCACTGCTCACCTCTCGCGCACGCGCTGACTGCGGCACTGTAGCAGATCACGTTCCGTTGCAACACCATGTCCGCGATGTCGACAAACAATGACAAGGCATGCTGCCACTGCCTACCTTTCTCGCACGAGCTGATTCCTGCGCAGTAGCTGATCACGTTCGGCTCTAAAACCACATCACGCATTTGGCTGAGCAATGCCAACGCTTGGATCCACTGCCCACCTGTAGCGCATGCGCTGATGCCAGCACTATAACTGACAACGTCAAACTCCCACATCATGTCGCGCAAATTGCGGAACAATACAAGAGACTGCTGCCACTGATACGCTTTGCCGCATGCGCTGACTCCAGCGCTGCAGCTGAACGCATTCGGCTCCAGCTCTGCCTCCCACATCTCGCGAAGCAGCACCAAAGCGCGCTGCCACTCTGCACATTTCTCGCACGCGCTGATCCCTGCACTGTAGCTGATGACGTTGGGCTCCACCTTCGCATCCCACATCCCGCGAAGCAGCGCTAAAGCCCGCTGCCACTGCTCGCTTGTCTCGCACGCGCTGATACCAGTGTTGTAGCTGATCACGTCGAGTTCCAGCTTCACCTCCCCGATTTCGGTAAGCAGCGATAGCGCCTGATTACACTGTCGCCCCTTCCTGCACGCACTGATAACACTATTGTAAATACCAGTGTCAGCTTGCAAACGTGAACGCAATACATCTCGGAACAACGCCAACGCCGCGCTCCACCGCGTTGTAGTTGTCAGGTCCTTCACGGCGACTGAGACAGAACGGCAATCTGCTAGGGACCCGTGCTGCCTCACACGCTCATGGTTTGGGAGCATGGTGGGCGGGCACCTCTGAGGGCGTCGAACGCGTGAACAAACCATACCGATGCCATTGCCGATGCATAGCAATCAAACCTTGCGTTTAGGACATGCTACTGTGCGTCTGCAAGCCATTGCCGAGACAAAGACACGTCAGTACAGATTACTCTGCCGTTCCATCAATTTCTTGCGGCAGCGACTTGAGCGGAGCCCCCGTGGTCGACACGTGGCACTTCCAGCGGCCCGCCTGGCGGGGCGCGCATAGCTTGAAGGCTGGCGCGGCTGGAGCTCGGGATGCAAGCACTTATTAAGTCGATTACCCAGGTATGAGGCGTCGTGAAGACTTAAGAGAGAGCAATGCTGGCATTTAGGACTTCTTACTTGTGTTCTAAGGAACTGGGACTGGGTGCCGGTCTGGCGGCTCCGTGGTCGCCGTCGCCGCCTCGTCGCCGCCCATCGTCTGGGCCCGAGTGCCACCCTGACTGCTCCCATATTGTCCTGGGCATCGACGATTAATCGTGTCTCAATGTTTTGCCCCCTCCTGATCCTCCTCCTCCTCCTCCTCCTCCTCCTTCTCCTCCTCCATGCCCCCCCCAGGTCGGCCGAGCGGCGGCGCGGGCGTCCCGAGGCGAAGGAGGGCCAGCCCGTGCCGCTGTCAAACTTCTCGGACGACGAGAAGAGGTCGTTGCCGCACGCCTCGGGGGTCGCCGAGAGGCGGGGCGGGCGGGGGGCACTTTCCCCAAACAATGCTTGCACTGCTGGGGTTCTAAGTGAGGGTTTTCTTATTCGGCGTTTCGACATTGGGCGGAAATAGGGGGACAAGGGGGGGCGTCTGGCTCCGGACCTCTGCTTAATGCGGCTGTTTGCCGCAGTGCGTCCTATGGGGTAGAGGCTCCGCCTGCTCGAAACAGGCGCCCAAAATAGCCAAGATCCACTCCATGGGGTGGGGGGTAGGGGGAGGGTGCGAGGGCAAGCACCGATCGGCAGAAAAATAAATATAAACATGCTCACGAACTGATTTTCTAAAGAACTCGGCCTAACGGCCAGTCCGGCGGTTAGGTGGCCGCCCTGTCGCCGGTGTGTCGAGACGCCCCTCGGTGTCACTCTTCTCGTGTCTTAGAGACCTCCCGGGTCCACATGCCGTCAGGGCGCCGGGGGGGAGGGGGGGTCGGCGCCGCGGGGGGGAGGAGAGAGGGAAGGACGGATCGGACATCAAACAGCTGCGGAGCCGCGAGAGGAGGATGTCTTGGATCGGCGCCCCGCACAGGCTGCACCTGGAGGCGCCGCCCAGCGGCAACCCCAGCGTGCTGCGTGCGACAGGGAGGGGGGTCCAGCGCCGATCCAAGAGATTTCCGCGCGGAGCTCCGACAGCTATGTGCATGCCGTTCCTTCTTGTTCGAAGGGAGTACCTCCTCCTCCTCCTCCTCCTCCTCCTCGTCCTCCTCGTCCACCTCCTCGTCCTCCTCGTCCCCCTCGTCCTCCTCCCCCTCCCCCTCCTCCTCCTCCTTCTCCTCCTCCTTCTCCTCCTCCTCCTCCTCCTCCTCCTCCTCCTCCTCCTGGGGAGAGCTACGGAGGGATGGGATGAGAGCGGTCGCGAAGCGAGTCTGTGGAAAGTGAGCCCTGGCCACCGGCTCAGCTTGGCAGGATCAGTGATAAGGGATGGAGTTCAAGGGTGCCTACAGGCGAAGGGGGATGGGGGGGTTTGCCAGCACCGTCCTGGGTTGGTCGCCGGTCGGGTGGGGGAGGGCGAGGGTCAGTGGGGGCCCATGCCAAGAAACACCTTGCTTGCCTCCAGGATGCCCTGGGTTTCTTGGGTTTCGATGGTTTTGCGATGGTGGAAGGCGCGACGTTCCAACACCAAAAAATCGATGGACGTCCTGGGGTCTCAGGGTTGGTTTCGATAGTGATTAGGTCGGACATGTCCTCCTACAGGCGAACTTTCAAAGGGAAATAAGAACATAGACAGAACATGGCCCAAACTAATCAAACAACATTGGAACAGCATCACCAAACAATTGTTTGACTATTTTTGAACATTCCTCCTGTGGAGGGGCACGCCCGACTGAATGCAAGACCATCGGAACGGCGAGAAAGCTGAGGATTCGCGCGCCCAGCAAGCGAAGGATGCACGGTGCCTTTGCAATCTATTTTTGAGTTTATCCCCTGCAGAAGGGGCAGGCCCGACTTCAAAACTGACCTGGGCTGGGCCGGTCGGGCCCGCCGATAGTGGGCGGCAGCTGTGATTTTGTGGGGGTAGCCGATGGCGCAAGTCGTGGCCCGAGCAATCACACAGGACGTACACATTCTCGGCCTCCGGGTGGCTAACCTGTGGCGAAACAAATACAGTTGGTTCATGCGGCGTTGGCGCGCCAGCGACGCCGGCGAAGGCGTTCAAGGTTGAGTTCTGCGACGCGGAGGCACCGAGGGATACGGTGACGCCACTGGAGCCGACGGGACTCAACATTGAACGATCGGGGCCGCGATCGATTCAAGGTTGAACGATCGGCGCGGTGTCAAAGACCTTTGCGCACGCCGACGCCGCATGAACCTCCAGTAGCAAGCCTTATGTTGCTCCCATCAAACCCTCTCAAACCTATGGCGAGGAAGAGATCGCAAAAGGCCGTGCAGTGAAAGCGCGATGGGTTTAGGCTGCTCCAGTCGTATGTAAGATCCACATCCCAAAGATGATTTATCAAAACAGCGTCGACCGAGCATCGCCTCCCAGAGCCCAGCACGCGAAAACCCTCCAGTTTCGGTACTGTCTTGGTGCTGGAAATTCTGGTGCTCGAGGCTAAAATAGGTTGGAACATTATAAAGCAAGCCGTTTCATGGGCGGCCGCCGAATGCGAAGCCGATGGCGCGACGTGTAGCAGCCAGCTTACTGCTGGCTGGCCATTGCGCAACCTGTGGCGCAACAAACGGCAAGCCGTTCTGCTCTTGACTGCAGAAGGTGCAAACTATGTTGCAACTACTTGCACGCCTTTTTATTATCAGCCACCAGGTGCGCAGCCCACGTCGTAACCAGTAGCGAGACATTGCATGAAGGAATGCAAAATGCACAATACATAGCACAGCCAAAAGCAGACCGGTCTACCCTCGTCCGCCAAGCGCAAACTGTATGGCGCAACCGATGGCAATCTCGTTTTATTACCGGCTGCGGAGTGTACCACCCGTGTCACAGCCAATCGTCGGACGTTGTATTTTCGGCTGCCGACTGCGCATGTGATGGCGCAACCAAGAGCAGGCCGTGTAACTCTCGGCCGCCGATTGCACGACCCTCCTGCGGCGCAACCAACAGCAGGCCGTTATGTGTCCTGCCGCCGAGTACGCAAACTACGTCGAAACCGAGAGCAACTCGCTATATTTTCGGCCGCTAAGTGCGCAATGCATAATGGCACAAACCGTGGATGAAAGAGGGCGCAATCCATGGATGGCGCAACCGATCGCGGAACCCGTGGGCGGCGCAACTCACGGACCGCGCAACTTGTGGCGGGACCCCTGGAAGGCGCAACTCACGGTGCATCCCATGGATGACAAGACCAACGGCGCAACTTGTGGGTCGCGCAGCCCAAGGCGCGCCATATGGGTGGGACACGCACCTGGCACGCTCTACAAGGCTGTACCATGGCTGGCGGCAGGGGCCCAAGCGGCGATGCGCCTTGTGGATTGAAAGGGGCAATGGAACGGGGGGTCTCTAAACACCCAACGTCGTGATGTCGTCTTCACAGCAAAGTCCCCCAACAAAAACTTCACGCTTCCCGCGGGGCAGACCTTTCACCGTAAACCGTTCTTCCCTGGCGTTGGGGAGGACATACCACATCGAATGAGAAATAACCGGTTCAAAACAATCCTCGGCAACCCCCTCGGACAACCTGGACGACCCTCCTACCGCTGGATACCATGACGACAACACGACCTACCCCGAGCAGCCTCTTGGACAACCCAACGGGGATCCAGACAACCATCCTTGGACAAGCCTCCCCAGGGATCTTGCTTCCAGTAAGTACCCCTAACCCTTTGGAAGTGGAAGCGGGCCTGAAGAGGCACAAAACATGTGGGATAGGGAGTCTTTTTTTTCGGCACATGTATCGAGCCAAACAACCCAGATCAATGACGCCTAGAAAGCCAGGGCGGGGACCTAAATTAGGCAACGTATTCATGATGTTAGTAAGGTTCGGGGTCCTTTAATTCTGGATGGTGAGATATTGTACAAGCATGATGGATTGCAAAAGACACGCGACAGGACACAAGGCTCATCCGACGGCAACGTGGCCTCCAACAATACGACGCCCACCAAAAACGTACGCGCTCACCCACGTGCTTGAACACGGTCGCCCCATCCGCGGGACCAGCCGCGTGATACGAACGCTCGCGCAAGGCGTACTCGCGAAACCAGCGTGGATTCGTGTACGTGTACGTCCTTTTTTCGCTCCTGAAACAAGTGCACATTGCTCCGGGACTGCAGGGGGCACAACGCGCGAGGCACAGGTCAGGGCTGAACCTAAACGGTGTTGTTCGTTTTCGTTTTGGTTTCGTGCTCACTCGCTTGTGTCTTGAGTCCGCCCTTGACCGCAACACGACATCGAAACGACAACTGGCCACGAGATCACCACAAGCACTGTTTAGGTCCGGCCCTGGCACAGGCCACGAGAATACCACTGAGTTGGCCGGGCCGACCCACTGCTCTGGGCCGACCGCAGGAGCAGGCGCAGCGAACCGCACCCTGCGCTCACCTTCGGGGCCCCCCTCTTCGAGGGCCCCCCTCTTCGAGGGCACCCTCCTGAGCCTGCGACCCTCGGTCCCCCGACGCGCCAGAATTCCCGGCCATCCTGGGGCCCGGCCAGGAGGGGAGCCCGAACATGCTACCAGAGGCCCTTCGATGCGGATGATCCCGAAGACGCGAGGAAGCATGGGGCCTCATGCCTCATAGCTTAGAGGAAGAACAAACGGCATAAACATAAACTTTTGGCGCTACGCGCGGACTTCTTGGATCCGCGCTGGGGCCCCCCTCTCCGGCGCGCGGAGCGCGCCAGGGGCGGCACCGGAGGCTCTCCCCGGGGGGC